TTTACGAGAGAAGATTAAAATAAAACGAAGACACATGCATAACTTTAAATAGCCATTAGTAAGCCAACATTGAGATCCTTTAATACGTAACATCGTGCAAGTTTTCAAACAGGAATATTATAGAAATATATTTTTTTTATAAAAAAAGTACTCTCACAATTTTATTCATTTGCTTAAAAAAACACGGTTTATTTTTAACAGTTTGATACAAAAATAATACGCAGTTAATAAAAATTTTTAAAACCTTGATAATGATTTTTAGAATAAAATGTAGGTAGATACTCTGTACGATTTTATTGTGAGACAATACATAGGATAAGAATCATTGCAGTATTAATTTTTCATCATTAAAAATAATATCTATATATAAATATAAAAAGTGTATATTTTCTATATATACTAGGTATTACGAGCTATACTATGTTAAAACAAATCTAAAGGAATCTAATGTTCATAGGTACATAAATATTACATACATAAATGCCCAATTGCAAAACCAAATTTAATTAAAAAATGTTCACTTGTTTTTTTTTCTATTATTTTCTTATTTATATAAAATTATTAAATAGTTACCTATATAAAAAAGTTGTAGTAAGACATAATAACGCCAATGTTATTAAAGTGATTGAATAAAACAAATAGGGACTGATAATTGTATTATAACGATATAAAGCAATTTCTTATGCAAGACTGAAACCTAATTTTATTTTATTTTAATATATAAAATATGACATTATTACATAAGTTGAAAAAAATTGATATAGCTTATATTTTAGGTACTTTGTTAAGAAAAAACCCATTATTTTTTTATTATTATTCAAAACATTGAAAAACAAATAAGACGTGAATAATTTTCTTCTAAATTTTTTTCAGGTAAAATACTAAGATTAAAACATGATGTCATTAATTATACTACTATGTATGTATATAATATATATATATATATATTTATTTATTTATTTATTCCTAGTTATTAATCTAAAAGATTTGTTATTTACACATTTTATAAAAATGTTGAGTATTAGAAAGTAACTAAGCATAGAAACATCAATCAACTGATCCGTCAAATATTTATGATTTAATTAATATAAATTTATATTATCAAGTTTAATATATATCTACATGGAAATGTTAATTAATATATAAAACATAAAACTTTGGGCAAGTGTAATAACTTTTAGTTTTAAATCTACATTATAACTGACGAAGAAATAATTTGTTATGACAAAATTTAGAGATAAATAAAGTTTTAATTCGTTTTTAAGACATTGTTGAATATGTTTACAAAAAATACATTAAGAAAATTAAAAAGAATTGAATTATCATTATAAAGTAATTCAGAACATTGTAGATAGGTATATTAAAATTAATTGTTACAATATTATCTTAGAATATATTGACTTAAATAAAGGTTGAAATCACAGTTGAAATGTTTTAAAAATAAAATCTTTTGATACATTTCTTAAAATAACACCAGAATGAATAATTTAATGTTATATATATTTTTTTCGTTTATATATACTTAGGAAACGAGTATTAATACTAAAATCAATAACAAAATACAATTAAATATGAGCATRATATATATTATATATAGAGCAAAATATTAATAAGTAATGATAATATGATATTCGTTTAATTTCATCTATATAAGAATATTTAAACTACTACAAGTATAATTTATTTGTAATTCAATTAAAGTTGTGTAGTTATTTTCAATATTGTGTTTAAGAAATTTCTTTGAYATTAAACAACTATTATGCTTTTATTTTAAACCAAATAATTTTGAAAAAAAATCATTATTAGGTATACTATCTTTATCGGGAAATAAACACAAGAATTAATGCATTCTCTGTGTATATAAATATAATATTTTGGTGAAGAATACCTATTTACTTGGAAGATTATCTTCTTAAGATTGTGAACATCATTTAATTTTAAACCATTAAACATAATAAGGTTGTGTTGGATTTATATATAAACATCTTTAGCTTTAACAACGTTTTAATAACATGCAATTAAGGTATGAATTGTGGTTTATCACTTCATCAGCTATCGATAATATAACGCAGGTTTTTTAAATTTTCATAATATTTCTTATGAATTTTGCCATTACAATTTTAATGAAGATGTGCCTTCGTTTATCGTACTATAATTGAAAATATAAACCATTATAAATACAAACCACGTTTGCAAATTTAAATTTCGTTCAAGTTATCTCAGACAAAAGTATTTAATAATAATTTAAAACTTAAATTGCATGAGATAGTTTTCATTGGCATATAACCACCAACTTAGTCTGCATCTTGCCAAAAATTAAATCGTGCGCGTTTCATTTTATCTATTTCGTACATTCATGTACAATGATGTTCAACACTTGTGAAATAAATATTGACTCTGCGTATTCAAACTTACTGCATTAAATTTATTATAATTGGCGAATATCAAACGATTAATAAATCAAACAGTAGATAACGATATATATCTATAGGACTTGTAAACGGCTATAATTGAATTTATCTTTATGGGGTGCTCTAATGTCATCACTACTCGAATACATGTATAGTGTGTACTTTGTACATTTAAAGCATGAATATACTATTATATTTGGTAAATTACAATCAGAAATCCACATATGAACTTGAGAATTGAAAAATAATATGTAACTTTAATTATGATTGTAAATATTCAAAACCATTTTCCGTGAAAGAAACGCTCATTGCAATCAGCAAAAGCCCTACATATTATAATATACCTACTGATTCTAGTTAAATATTTAAACGTTGTACGTTGATACTTGTGAAATAGAACATTTATATAATTTTATAGCCTTGACAAAATAGAATCCCAAAGGTCTTTTTAATGTAGGTATAGGAACTCTGGGATTCAACTCACTTAACCCCCCTTCTATAGCCTTTAATTTAGCCCTGATTAAACAAATTGAGAAATAAAAATTGAATTAATAATTGATTGTGCACAAATGATAAATTGTGTTTATTATAAATGCTAAACATAAACATAAATTAATTAATTTTAAAAACTATGTTAGGTATATATTTATATAGAGTTTTATATAGAAACATATATACCTATGTACTTATAATTTATACAATAGACATATTCTTTTCTTTTTTTATTAAAATAATCTTCAGAYTAACTGATTCATTAAAAATGTAAAGAAATAATAACGTCTATATCATATAATTTTATGATTGCACGATTAATGATGGTACATATTATTGTAGTCAGTAGTTATTCTACATCGCTATGAACTATGTATCATAAATTTAGTATCTCAGTTATCAATATCTTTTTTTTATTTCTATTATATACATGTTATATGTATTAGGTACTAATACTAAATAATATCGGTGTTGATGTRATACACATTTTTTCTTTATTATAATCTAATAACATTGTAAATTTAATTTTGAATTCAATATTTAAAATACGTGCCACCTACTGCAGACTACATCAACAACGTTTCTTTCAACTAGATTAGGTACCATCGTATAAATATTATCTTATTAATCACAATTACCTAAATTACGTAACTATTCATAAAGCGATCACTATTTCATTATTATAAAATTAAAATATGATTTTGATGTGCAATCAATTGATTCGTTAATTTAGTTTGATAATAAAAGTGTTAGACTTGCATCTACCCCCACTAAGTACAGCTTTTACCGGGGGTAGGAAAAGCACGACACATTTCGGACAATTCTCCTTGATCACTGCATGTAATTATCTAGCATATAGCTTAAGCAATCTAATTTGAATAAATATAAACTGAACTATATTTGTCCAAATCGTTATTAACAATTACTGTCTGACATTGTGTATATATAACTTTACGGTCGAAGTATAAAAACTTGAAGACTTAAAAAAAATACTCTGCAAATTCAGTTTACATCTCAATTAACACTAACATATTATGTATTCATATTAAATAGAATAGCTCCCTTACGTGGCACTTAATTCGTGCCATATCGTAAGATTTTTTTGTCGTGAGACATTTAATAGGTAAAACAAAAAATATCACTTGTCCAACAAAATGTTTAGATGGGTTACTGCTTAGGTTAAGTAAGAATCTAGTTATATTATACTTGAAATCGATATTAATTATGTATATATAAGAGTAGGTACTATAAACCTTATGTTTATAAGGTACATTAAATTTTCTTGTTGTGTTACTATTAAATATAATATAGTGTATGTGAGTTAACGTTACAAAATACTTATTATTTTATATATGAACATATATTTAACATTTAGTTGTTATATAATTTATGGATTTTCATTGACATATTTAGGAAATACTACTAAACCCTTCTTTTTTTTATTGTAAATTAAATGTATAATATTATACATCATAATTAACAGTTACTAAACACTTATTTGTATTACCCGAAAGATACTGATTTAGAAATTGATTGTAATCAAGCAAGTATAATAAAGTATTGTCAATAATTATTATGTTTCAATCTAATTTGTAAATACTAATATACTAATTCGCTTTTACAATAAAAGTTAACTGACACAATATATAACACCATCAAAACTTTGTTGCTCTTAAAATGTCGACCCTTGAGATAATCAACTTCCCCCTTGAATTGCAACCACCGACAACTTGATAGTACTTTATTTCACACGTTATGACACTACTGTCTGCATAAAATGGTCATTGCCCATGTTTGCTGAATTAATTTCTACATTTCCCGAGCGTTTTATTATACACAGGTACTTATTATTGTCCGTAACATAATATAATAATTTAACTAAATACGTATTGTACATTTAGATATAGAAATGAAATGAAAAATAAAAAACATAAAAACATACAAATTTGTTCGTTTAAGGATTATGGTACCTACTTAATTGGGTAGGTAATAAATTATTTTATATAACTTGTTAAAAATGTAATAGAAATATAATAACTATAATACGGCAAAAAATACACATCGTCACAAGTTCTATATATGATATTTGTATATTACCTGTGTTGGAGATGATTTGGAAGACGATCAGAGAAAACAAGACGGCGACAAGCGTTGACGTCATCGGGAAAGCATCGACGGCGGCGCGACGGCAATAGTAATAACTGTCGCACCGAGACGTCGACCGTTGCAGGCGCGACTCCATAACTGGTGTCGTCGCTACCGTTTAGGCGGACGTGCAGATTATACTTATGGTAGCGAATCCGGATCGAAAGCCGTCGGGTTGATGGGCGACTAGCGCGCGCGCACTTCACCGACTTGACGCCCGGAAAGAGTCAAACGGTTTTTTTGTATCTTCAAAAAGTCCGATCTACCGGATACGAAATTGCAGTTAACTCGCGAGAGACCTCTTGCAAGTGCTTTAATTATAATAATAACGATAAAATTGTTGCGACGCCGCCGACGGACTGACAGACGGCAGCGGTACACACGGGGCACGTGACTACGGCAACTAAATGTTGCGGACCGAATAAAACCCGCTACGGCGCGCGAACACTAACAATCGCCGCCGCCGCCACCGCTGCGCATCGTCTCTCTCGGTGCGCGCCGCCGCCGATGGAAGGTGTGTGTGTGTATTTGTGTGTGTGTGTGTGTGTGTGTGTGTGAGAGAGTGTGTAAACGTGTGTGCGCGCGCGTACGTGTGTATGCATGTGCGTGTATATGTGTGTGTGTGTGTGTGTGTGTGGATGACGGTTGGGTTGGGGGAGGCGACCCGAGCATCCGGTGGCGGTCAACTGTAATAATGATAATAATGATAATAGTAAAATAATGTATAATTCCGTCGCAACGGCGGCGGCGGCGGCGGGCTGCAGAGTGCAGATACTCCTCAGGGGCGCGGGCGCTTGATAATCCTGTGTGAGCCATGCACCATGGTACGGGTGGACGAGAGCTGTTGCAGGTGATCGACGCTACTGTATATAGCTGAGATTAGGCCTCAGTGACGATAGTCCGACCGAAAGTAGAACTCGGAAGTCCAAMACAATTTCCGGAGGGAGGGGGAGCAAAGCTAATATGTTTTTATCACACGCGTAGACAAATGGAACAAAAAGTCCAAAATAGAGATACTCCCGTTTATCAAAAAAACCCACCTGCAAAACTCAGCCCATCGGAAGAAAAGGCCACCACAATACATTAGATTAATGCCAAAWAATAGTATAGTAATTGTAAAAAAGTATTTGAAAATAAGGAATTTAAGTATCTATTATTTTAAAATTCTGATAATCATAATTTGAATAAATGCAATATTAGAGGATTAATAGGGATGAAATTATTTTGTCAGTAAACGTGGCTACAACACCGCATCCAGAGAATAATATTCATAATAAATAATAACAATGAATAACCGTCAATAAAATGTTAATGGTTTGTTATTTGTAGTATCGTCATGTTAATCTATGACCAGCAAATTCAAATTGTTTTCTGAAGAATTGTTTTGAGTTTCTGAAATTTTTGAATACTGCAGAATAGTATTCAAAATGACAAAATATTTTATAACCGTATACTGAGTTGGTGGAACACTCACGCATCCGGCTATATCAAACTATAAATTAGGGGAGGGTGTCTTATTAATATCACGCCAAAGTATATTATTAGTTTAATACCTATATGATTGAAAATTTAAATACTTGAAGTATTAGAAAATAACTGATAAAAACTTAAAGTTCTTGAAAAAAACTATAAAAAAATTTKTTTAGTGTACATTTGAGATATTAAACACATCTTTGAATTGGTATTGCCTGTTGCCTGGCTCTTCCCCTGTGGTAGTGTTATGAGTTATGACTTATAAGTATGAAATATTTCACATGTTTAATATTTCAGTAAAATAATAAAAGAAATATTTTTTAATTTTGTGTTTTTTGATAGGTATGCTTCGTAAAACCATCATAAAATGGTCAAACTAATTTTCATACCTGAATGATGATTATAAATATTTAATTTCCGATTACGATGTAAAGAAGAAGACGATTGATAATTATCATGTAATTTATAAAATGTAAACAATATTCATTTAACATTTAACTAACGTGTTTTATGATGATATACAAATTTGATGTGAGGAAGTATATAGGCACATTATATAGTATGGATTTCAAAATTATTATTTAATATATTTAATTATAAAATCAGTAAGTGTTTAACACTAATCTTACCTATTAAGTATTAATAAGTGTTCATTCATTGAATAAAAATTAAAATAAAGTGCATAATTGTTTTAGTCCTTTTAGTGAAACTATAAATTACATTATTATTATTCATTCAAATGTCTTGTATTATAATACCTACTATTATAATTATTTTTTAAAAGTATTAAATAAACACTGCGTGCGTGCGTATATACAGCCAATATCATGATATATAATGCAAAATCTGAAAAACGTAAATAAATTAAAAATCAGAAAATGTCCAAAAACTAATTTCTTATTAATTTACATAATAATAATATATTAATATGTATGTTTATTATGTGTGTACATCGTATATCAGTATTATGTGACCTACATTACTATACTATAGCTAGATGATATAAAATATATTTTTTATATTTTATTCTTGATATATCCTGAGGTATGGTCTTCGCCGTTTTAGATGAATATTATTCAATGCATAATAATGTAGTAATATATATATATGTATATATAAGATAAGATAAGGTGTACGACTGTAGGCTATGCTATCGGTATATCGTTGGGTTTTCCTCGTACCTTATACTTATAGTCAACTTCAGGCGCTTCAGCCTTCTGTCTTTTGTCAACTAGTGTAATAGTAGTGTTCATATAGTACGTGTGAGMTATATAGTGTGCGCCACGTACTGTACCAATAAGTGACAGAATTACTTAATGTTATAACCGAATAGTATTTTTTCTTAATTATATAAAAATACGTTAGACCATTCATTTTAATTCTTTTCTTTTCTTGTTAWTCAACCCCATCCTACAATAATATATTATTTGATATTTTTATATGWTTAATAGGTGTTACAAAATAAAATATTACATAAAAAGTAAAAAAAAAACACAGCCATCATTATTCCATTTTTATCCATACATTATTATTTTAAAACGCAGAAATTTTTTTTAAGTCAGTGAAATGAAATATATACTCATTAGAGTCGTGATAAAACTACTGCGCTTATAATAATTTAGGTATTGTAAATTATAATTTGAATATAGATATGAGTAGGCTAAAAAAATAAATAAAGCTATTTTAATTTAAGGTGAACGTTTCCGTTTCTTTAATAGATCCCAGATATTGATAAAATTACAACCTATAAATGGTTTTTAGCTTAACTTAACTCGACACTCATTTGGAAAACTCTTATAGGTAGTAAAATTGTATTGTAAAAATGAATTTCGTAGTATTTTACTGTGTTAAGTGATAACTGAATGATCAGTGGAACACTAATATTCGCTTATTGTTGGCATATGTCGACAGGGCCGGCCACAAATTAAGGCGTACCTATACCTACTTGATTTCTATATATGAATATTATGAACATTCTGGTTACAATTTTAGTTTATGAAAAACCTGATTTCTTTAACAGAATAATTGCCAACAAACATCAAACTAGCATCTTTTCATTATTTGGCGATAATAAAAATACATTTTATTTCATTTTTATAATGATCCCATTGTAAAAATGCGTTATATAAAGTAAATAATATAATGACTAATTATATTTAATTGTTTTAAGACAATATAATAATATACATATAATAATAAAAATAATTTTATGTATAATATTATTTTAATTATTTAATCAATGTTTTAATAACTTACAATCATAATCATAAATAAAAATTATGTTGTTCATTCCAAAATAAATTACAGGGTGTCCCGCGAGGACTTACCCATTGCAATATCTCCGTGGATAATAAATATATCATAATTCAATATATCATAAGTTTGTTTTTTGTGTTAGACTCACATAGACAAAGGCTACATGTATATAATTTTAATTTTTGGTRAAAAAGTTAAAAATTATTTTTTAATTTTTTAATTCTTGAAAAGAATAAAGATACATTTTTTATAGAATTTATTTTGCAAAAAATGTTGACCTTTAAACATTTTGTTTTCATTAATCTCATGATGCGTAGTAATTTTTTTAGTTAGGCAAAAAACTGGGTTTTATCTGGGCAGCAAGCCCCCCCTCCTCTATGGCTAATAGTATATCCACCACACGGGACACTGTATAACTTATAACAGTTATAACAATCTACCTGGGTAGGTATCCACATTAAGGTATTATTATTAAACTGTTTTCGCCGTTTTCGGGTTGTCAAAATTGGTTCCAAAACTTCCGAATCAGTGGCGTGTAACCTAG